GGCAAGAGCGTCGAGGTTCGTATTCGACCTCGGAATTTGCGAACTGGTTCGATTAAGGTGCGGAATTGACCTTTAAAGAAAGCATTGGGGTTCGTACTCGACCTCGGATTTGCTATTTAATTGATGTTCGAACTCGACCTTTAGCGGAAATGTCGAGGTTAGGATTCGACCTTAAATTTGAGATATGCTATTTAATTAAGGTTCCAACTCGACCTTTAACGAGGGCGTCAAGGTTCGTACTCGATCTCAGGTTTGAGATAGATTATTAAGGTTCGAATACGACCTTTGACTATCGAGGTTCGTACTCGACCCCGGAGTAACGTGTTTGAGGTTCGTGCTCGACCTTACTTTGAAATAAACGACATAATTAAGGTTCGAATTCGACCTTTAACTGAGGATATCGAGGTTCGTACTCGACCCCGGATGAGAGAATTAGGGGCTCTGTGTGTGGTTGGATGAGAGAATGAGGGACGTCTAGCCTGAGAAACATTGGCCATGACAGGACGTCGTCCGAGGTTCCTTGGTCGATGAGTGTCTTTTGTACTTCCCAGTTGGCGACCTCCACTACGATGACCATGGGATCATCTTGGTTAGGGTTAATGCCTGCGTAGTCCTCGTCGAAAAAAGAGATCGACGGCGAGCTGCTGTGCGGGATCGAAGCGGTAGAGTGGGCATAGTTGATACTTCGAAGGTGCCTTTTCCGGGCCGAGCTGCTGGCGCCTCCTCCAGCGAAGCCGCCCGCAATTGTGTTGATTACTCCCCGCAAGGGGGCCGATTCCGTCTCCTGAGTTATTTTGGCTTGAACTGCGCCACTAGCATGTTGTTGGGACCCTGTGGGTAGGTCCGCGCGAGCTCCTGGCCCGCGGCCTCTCGCTCGTCCCGGGCCTCCTGAGCCACCTCGGTGACTTTGCTGTCGTTGGACGTACTGGCCAAGGTGGCCTGCCTGGATGAGTTCTTCGATGCGATCCCGGAGCGTGCGACATTCCTCCGTGGTGTGGTCATAGTTCCTGTGGTATTGACAGTGCTTGGACTTGTCGGCGCTGTTGGGCGTGTGGCCGGGTGACGGAAGGGCTAGTAGGTTATTGTTGTTGGCTTCCTCCAGGATGTGGACTCTTGGAGCGTTCAGAGGAGTGTAGAAATCGTACCTCCCGCCTCTGTTTGCTCTGGCCGACTTCTTGAATTGGCTGTCATTATTAACTTTCATCTTGTCTTTGTGGCTCTGTTCTGGTTTCATGGGGCCTTTTCCGCGAACCTGGTCATGGATGGTCGCGTGCTCTTCCATCTAGATGTAGCCGGCGGCGCGGGCACGCAGTTCGTCCATGTCGCGGGGGGCGTCACGGCATAGGCTGTCAACGAATGACCCGGGTTTGAGTGCCATGAGCATGGCGTGTAGGGCGACCTCGGGGTTCAAGTTCCGGATTGGCACCGAGATGCTGGAGAAGCGTTCCATGAAAGCGCGCAGAGGTTCGTTGTCCTTCTGCCTGAGGTTGGCCAAGGCAGCCGAGGTTGTATGGTGAGGTCGGCTGGTGGCGTATTGTGCCATGAATCGCCGTACCATGGTGCCAAAACTGTCGATGGATCCGGCGGGTAGTTGGGTGTACTAGTGAAGCGCAGGTCCCTTGAGCGAGGTCGGAAAAACCCTACACAATATAGCATCATTGTTAGTGTAGAGGTTTACCTGGGTTGTATATGAGTCGATGTGCTCATCGGGGTCCGTTGTGCCGTCGTAGCGGTCGAGGTGGAGGGGCTTCCACCCGCGGGGCAATGGGGTCTCCATGATGTCGTCCACAAAAGGATGACGGCGGAAAGGTTCTTGGCCCTCGGAGACATGAGTGGGGGCTCTGCTGGTACTCTACCCTGATTTGCGTGTCGATGCGCGAGATCGGTGCGTGGCAGGCCGTGAAGTTGGTGCCTTGGTCGTCGCCCGGGATTGGGAGGCTGAATGTGCCTCTTCCTCATGAGTGTCGCTCTCGTGCGGAGGTTGTTCGGAGTGGTGTCGAGGGAGCTGAGCGCGAATGCGCTCATTCTCGGCATGTAACGCTGCGAGGTCTGCTTCATTAGCGATCCGCATCGCTGCAAGGTCGTTTTCGTGCTGGGTGCGCATGTTTTGAAGGTCGGCGTCGTGTTGTTGTCGCATCTGCTCAACTTGGTTGATCAGCCGCCTTAGGGTTGCAGCGTCGCTGTCCATGGTGATTGAGTGGCTTGCGTCGTCTGTCGCTCGTCTGATATGGCTTCTAGTAGAAACCATGCAGGTGGCCGATAAGAGCTGTCTTGATCGGCCCCACGGTGGGCGCCAAATGTTCTTACCGGAATTTGGTCGTAGAGGTGACCCGTCCAGTAAGATCGGTGAGCCTCCTTTGCTTGATGTATTGGTGCTCCAAGATGGGGGAGGTACCTGCAAAAGAGATTCCGATGCCAAAGTTAGGGTTTGTATGAATAATAGTCTCATTTATATAATGCATGTACCTTGAAGTGATCTAGGTCTGCCTTGGGCTTTGGGCTTGAGGTGAGATGTATCGTGATATAGTGTAATGTGATATAATATGATATAGTTGAAGGGCGGATCTGGTTTGGGGCGAGATCCTCGGAATTAGGTGTGATTTGCTTAAATACCGGGCTGACGTCGTCTAGCTCGCGCTTGAGGTTGTCTCGCTTTGCCAATCCGGGCTGGGAGCCCGGATTCGAGGTACGGATAGTACACTTTGTTTGTGTGTTTTGGACAACTTTATGTTTTTATCAAATTCACCATTTTTTTTCACATTTATTACATTTCTATTTTTTCTTTTCTTTTCTTTTCTTATTTCTTGTTGTAATTATTCTCTATCCATTGTATGTTTATTTTAGTCAATGGTCCTCTACTTTCATATCTTTTTCCATATATAGATAGTTTCACTAACCATGTTATCATATACCTTGTCAATTTTGATTTTCTAGTATTTGTTTGATAGGATAGTCAATTTTAACTATGATTTAATGACAATGCAAGTTTTTCACTCGTTTGATATCTCTTTTTTGTATCATGCAAAACAGGACTTATAAAATAAATTAAATTTTTTTTTCCATTTTCTTGTAACAAAGTCACATTAATGGTATTCTTAGTAATTACTAAATATAACAAAATATCAACTTGGTGATTTAGTTTTGGTCAAAATTAGAGGACTTGATAAAAAAAATTGAAGTCAGAAAAAGGCTTATTCACATCAATTATTCCAATGAAGGTTTTCTTTAATAAATTAAAAATTAGTTTCATTTTTTCTACCTTGACTACTTCTTGACATTCTTCCTTCTACTTTGGGCTATTGGTTTAACTTCTTTATAGATCGACAACTTATGACACATAAAGTTAGGATCAATTGCAAGCACATCTACACTGTGCCAAGTAAAGAGATCAAAATTTCTAATAATTACTTCCATAATTATACCTTTAAGGTTTGTATCTAGATATTTTTTTTATCTTTGTACAATGGTTTGGTTTCTTCCTAATTTGAAATTCGACAAGCTTGTCAATGGGATTCAATCTATGATCTTGCATATTTGCTTGGGGATCCAAATCAGTCAAAGTAATGGCTTCAACATGAATCATTATTGAAGGAGAAATTGTTTCACTAACTACTTTGACAAGTATTACTTTGAAGCTTTCAACATAACATATTTTGGTGGCTTTCTAATTAACTTTGATTATGATTATGTCTCATTTATTGTTGGGAACTTCATCAAAAAATGAGGTGTAAGATGTTCTTGACCTCAAATAAGTATATTGTAAGATGTTGATTCTTCAACGAGCAAATATTTGATAAGGATGCTTCTCGAGTTTTGTGAATTTCCAAAGGTTGTCAATAATTCTACATATCCTTGAGTATGTACTCGCTCACCAACAAAAACCAATCAAAGTTTCTACATATTGTTGAATAATGTTGTGGGGGAATATCTAGCTTTAAAAAGGTTGGCCAATATAAAACATCAGTAAAACTTCCTTAATTAATTAATGTCTTATGTACTTCCTAGTTTGCAATTTCTACTAAGATTTTACCATAGTATCATCCTAATTCAAATTGATACCCACATAGTATCCCTTGAGTCTCTTTTATTAGATCTCCTTCCTCTAACTTGATCTTGGAATTCAACACGTTCTTTCATTTGCATGTATCCAACAACTTTTGAACATAGTTCATCTAAGCTGATAGGTTGTCTATGACACAAACTATCAATGAATGGTCCTGGTTTGAGTGCCATGAACATGGAATAAAAAGCAACTTCAGGATTAAGGTTATGAATTTTAATGGACACACTAGCAAAAGGTTCCATGAACTTTCATAGAGATTCATCATCTCCTTATCACATGTAGGCTAAAGCGATCAATGTTATGTGATGAGATCGACCAGTGGTGTACTAGGCCATGAAATGCTACACTAAGGTTTCAAAATGACCTACAAATCTTGGTGGTAATTGAGTGTACAAACACAATGTTGCTCCCTTTAACAAGGTTGGGAAAACAAGACACATAATAACATCATCATTTGTGAACAAGTTCACCTGGGTAATGTAGGCGTCAATATATTCATTAGAGTTTGATATGTCATCAAAACATTCAATATTTAGTGACTTCTATCTTAATGGAAGTGGAACTTTCATTATGACATCAATAAACAAATGTCTTTTGATAGCATGATGGCCATGAAGATGTTGAGATTGGTCATGTATAGCCTCATTTTTTGATTGATGTGTATGGATTGGGGAAAAGAATGACGTTCCTCATCATGAGCATGAGGATGGCTTGCTTCATTTTGTGGAGGTCGATGTTGAAACTAGGCTTAAATGGTATCGTTTTCAGCAAATAATGCTTAAAGATCAACTTCATGTTGACAAAGCATTGCCTTCATGGCTTCAACATTTTGTTGTCACATGGCTTCAATTTGATCAGTTAACCTTTGAAGTCCTACACTATCTTCCATATTTAATACTCCTTCCTCTACTACTTTTGTAACATTCCTAGTATGGCTTTGGGTTGAAATCATATGTGGTTGAATTTAGCCCCATGGTGGGTGCCAGAATATTCTTACCAAAATAAGCTCAGTTATTCTATAAGATCTTTTTCTTTACTTGTCTTCGTTGAACCATATTGGTTTCAACCTTCATCCAGAATGCGTTAGAGGTACATGCAAAAAAAACTTTAAAAATCAAGTTAATTTAAATTATTTGAAATTCTTAGAATATATATATATATATATATATATA